AATAGTCATTGCTTAGAGGCTTAAATTGGCAAATTAAAAGGACCATTTTGAGGCTTTTTTTTTTATTGTAAACTGACAGCTGTGGATACCATTTTGATAGTGTTATAACTTTTTGAGTTATATTCCATCCATATCTCTTAAGCAACTTACTAGAAATTAACTTTCTAAAATTTTTATGAGTTGGAATTTTAAGAGATTAGCTTGAACTGTTTTGCTTTCTTTTTTACAGGACGGCCCCCTGGTCCTGAAATGGAATACTGCACTGACAGAGAGTCATACTCTTTAGCCGCTGGCTTGGCCCTGGGCATGGTTTGCTTGGGGGTAAGAATAGTCTGTGCTTCAGTTATGACATCTGCATGTTGAGACAAGTAACCTTAAACCCGAATATCACTCTGCCTTACTGTGACTTGATTCCCAGTTCTTTCTTCTTTCTGGATATTTTTCAAAGTTCCAGATGTGTGAATGGAGAGAAATTGCAGTGAAGAGTGGGGCTTTAAGGTTTCTTTCCCCCTTGCTTAGATATAACTGTTCATGAATAAACTAAGGGAATGAAGTTTCTTGAAAAGAGTTCGAGACATAAGATGAAGAAGTTACAGCCCACTCTGACAGAAAACAGAAAGTAGTGAAAATGTATATGATGGGGAGCTTTGAGAGTCTGTAGTAGTCATTGGAAATAAACTCTAACCATCTTTTGCCACGGTGGTGTTTACTGCCCCGGAATGTTGCCACAGTAGCATTTGCTTTGTGACAAAATGCATTATCAGGTTGACCCATCTTTAACTCCATCCAAGACGTGTAGAGAATTACCAGGAATATTTTATTAAATGATTTTTACTTGGAATGTGGTTCCCCTGAAGAACCACCAATATGTTGTTAGGATCAAACTAAATGATACGAAGTTATAATTGAAGGCATTTTTTTATGTGTGTCCTAAAAATCCACCCTGTGTTTGACCATGTCTTGGGGTTTTGACTTCCCATTTGGCACATGAGCTAAAGAGGCAGGTGGTACAATGGAAAAGCATCATACTGGGAATTGGGACCTGAATTCTGGTACTGACTGGTCAGTCAAGTCACTTAACTACATTATTGTCTATTAGATAAACAGCTGTGTGGACTGTTGAGCCAAACTGCCTTGTTTTCCATCTACCCCTGCCACTTACCAGCTATGTAACCTTGGGCATAATCCCTTTGTACCTCACTTTGCTTATCTATAAAAGGGGGTTCTTACTAATAGCTATGTGATAAAGTTGTTAATTCATGTTAAACACACAGAATAGCACCAGCATTCAGCAAGTTATTGTTACCATAGTTATTGTTGCTGGAAAAGTTTGTAGTAAAAATAATGAAAGTATTCAGGTA